AGGGGCGTAACATTTCCGTCACATGCTTGAGGTATTCGGTCAATCTCAACGCATTGGATAGCTGGCCAATCAGAGCACACCTCGCTTTTTCAGACCGATGAGCTTTGTAAAAATCGAAAGTGTTTCAGAAAGACGGGGCATAGAGGAGAAACAATAATGTACAGTATGTGGAAAATAATGTGTTTTTTGAACTTTAAACCGCATAAACACATTTCATTACACCAAATACACAAAATAATGTTCTTTTTAGCAACATCATTTGACCCCTTTAAAAATATATATTTTTAGTAATAACACCACCCCTAGAAATAATTAACATTAAAGCAACACTCTATAAAGTTTGACAAAAACCATCAGAACTTATTTCATTCACAGCAACCTTGAAAACAATATCAAACACTGCCCATCTGAGAGTGAGAAAGGCAGAAGCTACTGGAGCATGCCGCTATGCCCTCCCCTTCTGCTCCCAAGGTTGGCTTATTTTAGATCAGGAAGGACGAGGTTTCGATCTGGACAGCATCTCTTTAAAAACTCCACAGAGGAAAAGGAAAGGGACAGAGGGAGAGGGAGAGGCAGCAAGCGAAAAGAGAAAAAGACAAACCAAGTGAGAGGACAGAAGAAGAAGCATGTAAAAAGCACATTGATATTCAGAGCCGTGCGCTAACCATTAGCTTCCAAGCTCCATTAGAGTTATCATTATGCACAAGACAAAACACTGGCCAGTAAACAATTAAAGAGAGCAAGGACAGTAAATATCAGACTCTCCAAACAATTATACGGATTAGTTTCGCTGACTTTTATGTGACTAACTACAAGCAGAATTAACAGTCTTACTTTTTATCTCCGTAAACAAGTTTGTTTTCAGAAGCCATTATAAGTCCAATCGATCTTGTTAGAATAAACAGAATAAATTGACAGAATAAACTCTTATTTAAAATACATTCACATCCATCTACATATGTACCCACTGTGTCCAAACCAATACACATAAAAATCATTCTGGAAAAAAGATGGATGCACCAAACTGACGTATTTGCCTGGCCTAGTGCAAGACATGTTTAAAAAAAAAAAAAGGTATTTTAACCTGGAAATATATTGTAATCGGATATTGAGGGAGATATGACTGACTGACTAAAGAGTGCAAATGTAATTCAATATGCACTTAATTTGTGACATTTTGTCTATTTGGAGGTGGATTATTATTGGGATAGCGTAAAACCCTACAGCTAAACACAAAACAAAAGTCACCAAACCTAGTTCAGAAGCTTTCATGCAGTTCATTTGGATAAATAAAATCCTTTAGTGCCACTAGGAATAACTGAAAAGAGATAAGGGGTTGTTTTTCCAAAACAATACCTAGTCAGCTGTATCAAATTCAAAACTGGCAACATGAAACATTTCTGAAAGACATTAAATTGGTTTGAGCTGTCGCACAGCGGTTAGTGAGTGTGCACTTAGTGCATGCCGTGCTCTCTCTCCTCAAGAATTTCCTGTCACTCTCTACTACATCTGTGGAATAAAAAGAGACAAAATCCCCCAAAATAAACTGACGTGAATGTATATAAATGGCAATATTGTCTTCAACTTTCAGCGCAATTTAGGCAAACTGGGAAGCATATTCATTTGCTCTTTCCGTTTGAAAATTGAGACTAGATGTCAAAATGAAATCATGTTCACTGGCATCACTGAAATTAAACAAAAGAGTGCAAACAAATGTCTTGTATATATGAAGTAAGAATTAAAATCAATCATTGTTTTTGAAAGAATTCTCTTATGCTCACCCAGGCTGCATTTATTTGATCAAATGCAATAGAAAAGGTCATATTGTGAAAACTTCTATTGTTTTCTATTTTAAAATGTCATTTATTTTATATGTCACTTTTTATTATTATCAATGTTAAAAACTGCTTAATATTTTTGTGGAAACCATGTTAGATTTTCTTCAGGATTCTTTGATGAATAGAAAGTTCAAAAGAACAGTGTTTATTTAAAATGAAAACATCTTGTAACATCATAAAAGACTCCAACTTTTAAATGTCAGTGTATATGAAATTTAGGTTTCACAACATGATAATGTACAGAATTAAAAATGGACATTAATTTTGAAATTTGACATTCATTTATCAGTATTATTACATTTGTATTTTTAAAGATTAACTTTAAGTCAGCGTTAGATGACGGCAAATGTAATCTAAATGTAAATATGGGGGAAAAGAGCATGCACATTAAGGGTGCTTTCACACTTGGTTCGATTGCTTGGTCCGAACCCGAGTTCGATTGCTCCCCCCTCCCCCTGCCCCCGCTGGACTGTGTTCACATTATATTATTTGGGTCCGAACCGCGGTTCGTTTACGTTATCAAGCCAGCAGCTGTTTACCCCATTGCTTAGTAACGATGGCGCAGGAGAAGACGGCAAAATGCGTAGCATTGCTCTCTTCAATTTTATATTTATGCTTTTGAACCGTTGGTTTTGTTTCCAAAGCTTCAGTACTTAACGGCACTTACGTCTGCCTTACTGCAAATGCCCTAAAGAACTCTGAAGGTGAACAGAAATGAGATATACAGCTCTCTGCTTGCAGCGCGTCAGTCACGCTCGTCAAGAAAGTGAGTGAAACACACACAAACACACATTTTTATCAA